GCCAACTGCCAACTGCAATCTGTAAAAGAGAAAAATGCTTTATGCATAACAGTAGCAGTACCTCTGGCTCTGCTGTTAAAGTTAGAGTGAAAGACATGACCATCCATGGTTTTCTTAATCTGATGTGGTTCTTAACATGCAAATGTGTTTCCTTTGAAAAAAAAAAAATCAGAATTCAAATTTTTAAGATGAGAAAACATTCTGGAATATTTTGTTGGTCCTTCTAAACCTCAAACATTCCAGCTAACCAAATTAACCGAAAACCCACCACTTAGTCCTGTATTAAAAAACAGCTGTTCCTATGGTGCAAAAAATAAATAAATAAAATCAATCAGGCAAAAAGACCTCAGCAAAATAAAAAGACAAAAAACAAATTACAATTATGTGAATAAACATTTTCCTCCAAACATATGATAACAAATTAAGAACCAACAGAACAAAAGAACCAAAAAAACAAACATTCTAAACTCGTCATTAAAACCAGCATGAGTTGCAAGAATATACCATTACACAGCTGGAAATCCATGCAGTAAAGTCCACAATATTGACCAGTACTGATAATAAAAGTGATTATACACTGTAAAACCCAACAGTCAACTTTATTAAATGAAATGAGTGCAGTTTACTCAAAATTTACTGAAAGTTAATTCTACTCATTTGAAGAGTTTTGAACTCAGTGTTGAATGTAATGAGTTCATTAAATACCTCATTACCTCAACTTAAATGGAGTAAGTTCACAGTACTCATATAGATAGTTTTTTTTTTTAACTCAAATGGTTTGTAGCAATTAGTTTCCTCAAATGGTTTGAGTTGCCTTAACTCATTGGGTTTTACAGTACCCAGTTGGTTTGACTTCACTTCATTTATCGGGTTTTACTGTGCTCAAATTGTACTCAAATAGATTAAGTTCACAGAATTTATTAGGATTATTTTTTTTAACTTAAATGGTTTGTTGCAATCAGTTTCCTCCTCAACTACCTTAACTTTTGGGTTTTACAGTGAATTAACAAAAATAAAAGTAGCAGAAAAAAATGAATAAATAAATAAATAACAAATACAATTAATTCATGTTTTATTTTAACAATATTACAGTTAATCTAAATTCAGAAGATAGTAAAGAGATAGTTCACCCAAAATAAAAATTCTGTCATCATTTATTTACTCTACTTATTCAAACCTGTTTGAGTTTCTTTCCTCTGTTAAACACAAAATAATATATATTTAAATATGTTAGAAGACTGAAGCAATAGCATTTGTTTTTATTGAAGCCAATGGTTACAGGTTTTCAGCTTTATCTTTAAATATCTTGTTATTTGTTCAGCACAAGAAATAAACCCATAAAGGTTTGGAACCACTTTAAAGGAGAGTAAATAGTTAAAATAGTTTCATTTTTGGGTGAACTATCCCTTAAATTTTTAAGTATGTTTTAGACACTAGCAGTTCTCTACGATGGATGTCCAGTGTTCTACAGCCTCCGGCACCTGGACTGCAGCTCCGCACAAGAAGTTTGGCCAGAGGAGAAATGGTTGTGTCCAACTGAGCCTAGTTTCTCTTAAGGTTTTTTTCCCTTCACTTTCGTCAATTGGTGAAGTTTGTTTCTCGCCACTGTCACCACTGGCTTGCTTGGTTTGGGACTTGAGGAGCTGCTCATAGATGGATTTGCTCTTCAGTGTTTGGACTTTCAGCAGTGAAAATTGAACCACACGGAACTGAACTGAACTGAACTTCAACTCTGAGAACTGAACAGACACAGTTTTAATTTACCTGAATTGCTATGTTAAGCTGCTTTGAGACAATCTACATTGTGAAAGCGCTATAGAAATAAAGATGAACTGAATTGAATATAAATGAAATAGATGTATAAACGTTAGAACAAAAAGAAACACATTTTTTAATGTATTTTTATAATAATAATCAAAAAATTACAACACACACACACACACACACACACACACACACACACACACACACACACACACACACACACACACACACACACACTCTAACACACACTAACACACAGATAATCCAAATATAATCAGTGTAGGTGGATGAATTCAGAAATCACAAGGTGTTACAATTTGTTTCCTTAAGCATATCTGCCATATCTGTTGCCCATAGCTTGCGATTCTCAAGTATTTTCCATTTACGCTTTCAAATAGCCTAGTATTATGAGACTGCATGGATCATGCCGGCAAAGAGAAACATCTCATTAATTAAAATGATCTACTTAAACAGTGAACAAATACAAAACAACAATATATGTTGCTCACAACTATAGTTCTGGTCTTTAATGTTAAGTTTACTTTATGTACCTTGATGTGCCGATAAGTCAGTGTCGTAAAAAGCTGTTCGAATAGACGGCGAAGACAAAAATAGCAAATGCAGGTCAGTGTTTTCAACTAATATTCAGGGGAAGTAAAGTAACCTTGACGCAAAACACTTGCATTTAAAAGTAATTAGTAGAACAATCTGTAGAAATAAGGCACTTCTATAATGAATCTTTATGTAGCCTATATTTCCACAGGTGTTTTACAGTTTGTTCATGCATTGAGGTAATGCACAAGTCTTAATAATGACTGGAAACAAATTACTAGGCTCTGCTTCTGCTCATCAAGTGTATAGGTCGAAGCAAATAACTACAAGGTGTATCACACAAAACAAAATGAATCCCGTTTTAAACTCTGTCATTGATCTAAAGATGTTTTATGATTCCCTGACTTCAATACTGGGTAATCCTGCAATCCAGAGTTAAATGTATTACATTTTTGTTGTTAATTCCCTTGTATAGTGTTTTATGTTCAAGTCTGTTCTCCCCATTTAAAAACATAACAAAAACAAGGTGTATCAAAATGGAGAATAGCTGAACACCTGCAACTAGAAATGTGTAGGTCTACTGTTTCTGTAACTGAGTCACACTTCAGAGTTACCAAATGTTTAACAGTCAAATTTGTTGTTAGGTGATATTTAGACAAATAATAAATTGTCAAAGTTGAACACACTGCCACGTGTTTGCATTGAAAAACGTGTGTAAAGTGTGGTTATTAAAACATGAATCTGCCACCTGGCGACAGACTCATGAACCGCAGCTCCGCAGTTTCAGTCAGCCCTCAGGTATAATTCTCCCTCTCCCGACAGTTACTTTTGACATGCTTCGACAGGTAGGATGTGTAGGGAGAAAATACCGTTAGGATTTTGTTTGGGAGTTACCAAAGCGGCTAAGACAACAATGTATAGACAGTTAGTGGTGATTACAGTGTCATTACCAGACACGAGGCGGTTGTCATGTATTGTGTAAGTGGTAGCAATAACTTCAGTCTCGCTCCTTTGTTGTGAAACGGCCTAGTCTTGGTACTTTTCAAGTGTGAAAGAGAGTAAAAGGGCGGGATGTTATAAAGATAGAGATTACCTGCAGTAACTTGTCATCTGAAACCGTAATGTTTGTTCATCATGCTCATAGAAACATAAAATGCAGCAAGCGGGTGTTACATTTCAAAGAGTGTAAACCGAGGAGCCCTAAACAGTCAACAGACTTTACAATGGTAAGATTACACTAAAATTAGGTTATACCCACAAATATAGCTACCCACATTTTTACTACAAACAAACTAATTAAAAATATACATGTATATTTTGTGGTAAAAAATGTGGTAAAACTGAATTCTCACAAGGGAGTATGAGTCATAACCCACAAAATAAACAGTAGCATATTTATATTAAACCTTATATATATATATATATATATATATATATATATATATATATATATATATATATATATATATATATATATATCTTTTTTTAATGAAGGATGATATTGTTATTCATTGTTATTTGCACACTTGTTGTTTATTTAATTGGTTCAATCCAGAAGATAATATTTTGCCAAAGATTCTGTTTAGTCATGATAATAGAAAACAAGACTAGCCGATTTGTATTGTTATTAAAAGACTATTTTTACATTTCTAGAAAGTGTTCTTATCAGTAAGGCATTTCAAACTGTGTTTAGTAACCAAATACACACCTCTTATTCATACACTTTGAACAGTTTCTACAGTCATCTCAGCATGAGGAGAAAAGTGACAAAATTAGTGTTAGAAAATACACAGGAATGAAGAAAACCCTCATCGTTCTTATTTTTACTTTACAAAATGTCCATTTAGGAAAAGATGTTGTTAAGCTATACTGTATATGCAATGACACTAATACCGTGAATGTGCTTTTAAGAATGTAAACCCAGTGTTCAGGTATGTACACTACCTAACAAAAGTCTAGTCTCCTATCCAAGTTTTTAGAACACCAAATAATACCTTGACTTTTAGTTGATCATTTGGTATCAGAAGTGGCTAATATGAAAGGCAAAGGCCTCTAGATTACGCTTATTTTACCAAAATAAAACATAATCATGCCTTGATTTTTAATTATTTAATTAGGTCAGTAAGTTCTTAGACTAAAGTCTTGTCACATAACAGAAATAATGTACAGTATAGAATATTAAGTCATGTTGCAGTAGAAAAAGAATGAATAATGTTTATGACTCCCATGAGCTTGGAGGACTGCATCCATACATCTCTGTATTCTACATCCACATCAAGACTCTTTGGATTCACCTTCAATGCCTAGTCCTTCATCTTCATCTACCCCAGACATGCTCAATAATGATCATGTCTGGTGACTGGGCTGGCCAATCCTAGAGCACTTTGACCTTCTTTGCTTCCTGAAACTATGAAGTGGTGGCTAAAGTATGAGAAGGAGCGTTATCCTGCTGAAGAATTTGCCCTCTCTTGTGGTTTTTAATGTAATTTGCAGCACAAATGTCTTGATAGCTCAGGCTGTTGATGTTGCCATTCACTCTGCAGCTCTCTTGTATGCCCTCATACTGAATGTAACCCCAAACCATGGTTTTGACTTCACCAAACTTGACTGATTTCTGTGAGAATCTTGGGTCCATGCAGGTTCCAATAGGTCTTCTGCAATATTTGTGATGATTGGGATGCAGTTCAACAGATGGAAAAATCTACTTTCTGCCACTTTTCCAAATGATCAACTAGAAGTCAAGTAATTATTTGTTGCTCTTACAACTGGGATGGACGACAAGACATTTGTCAGGTAGAGTATGGTGAAAACCTCAACATATGAATACCCGAGATTAACTGTTAACCCTGGGTAAATAGTGAGCAATCTAAAACATGACGCGAGGAAACCCAGCATTCATTTACCTGGGCTTTAGAACAACCATTTCAGTTGTGAAAAAGCACTAATGTAAATGAATTGCCGATGCGTCAGCAGACGAATCAATTACAAGCTGTTCGCTTCTCATTTTACATTTCAGCTTAGCACAGGTGTGATCACCAGCGGAGCTTCATTTTTGCTGTTTTTGTTGGTACAGGGACTGAAGAATGGATAAATGGTCTCCGAAAAGTTGTCCATGAACGTATGGATGTGCATTTTTGCGTCAACGTCATAAAAGGAGACTTGGCCTTTCTCGTAGTCCACAAATAGCCCCATTTTTTGAGGTTTGTTGCTGAGATGAAGCACAGTGGGAGGCTCAGTTCTGAAAGCGTAGTTGTTCTTGTCCCGCAAGCTAAGAAACCAGTATCCATGGCTGGGACTGACTTTGATTTTACCCTTTCTGTTGCAGGAATGACTTGCGACCCCCAGATCCCAGTCGGTCTTTCCGTTTACCTTTACCTCCCAGTAGTGTCGTCCAGTGTTAAAGCCCTCGCGACCGAGCACACAGACCACACGGTCAAAGCGCTCACGGTGGTTGGTAACATGCTGCTGATTTTCACTGCACCACACCATCTTCTTGTTTTCAGATAGGATGAGGCGTGGATGGGCCGTGTTGGCGTCCAGGGTCACATCCACTGTGGAAAAACATGAAAGTAAGTCCTTTTTTGATATTTACCACTGTTGCTATTTACAGTAGCACTAGTTTTTGAACCCATTCAGCTGATATCTTGGTGGGGGGCGCTTTTAGCTTAGCTTAGCATAGTTCATTGAATCGGATTAGACCATTAGCATCTAATTTTGTGCATAGATTACCTATTTAAAGCTTGACCCATCTGTAGTTACATTGTGTAACTAAAGGCTGATTTATACTTCACCGTCAATCGCATGCGTATGGTCTGGCTCAACCTTTGCACTGTCGCACCCCTCGCCATGGCTGACACCGACACACATCTCTCAAAAAATGTAACAACATGTTGCAAAAACGCAAAGCACAAGCTCTGTGATTGGCTGGCTGGGTATTACTCAACTTTTAATTTTTTTTTTTTTACCCTTTAATAATAATAATAATAATACAAATAATGATAAATGCAATTTAAAAAAGGTAACAACAATTAAAAACTATGTTTTTAACCATATGCATCTCTTGGTTTATTAATGGCAAGTTGATCAAAGAAGCGACTGTTAAATGTTTAAATTGATCAAATTGACAAGAATGAATGTTGTTTAGTAGTTTGATAATTTTATAAAACCTTTTTGATCCACTTCAAATATTCATTCATTTTCTTTCCGGCTTAGTCCCTTCATTAATCTGGGGTCGTCACAGCAGAGTGAACTGTGTCATGGCCCGGCTCAAAGGCAATGACAAAATAAAAGGGAGGACATACACCGGATGGTTTGGTACCAAAAGTATTTATTTAAACATTAAAAAATATTCAAGTGCTCACTTTAGGTCAGCAAAATCAAATATTAACCAAAGCTAAAAAGAAACAAAACAAAACAAAAAAGGAGCAAAAGCACGGCTCTCTCCAAGCAAACACTGCTGGCTTTTATATAGCCGAAATCAGGTGTTCCCAATTGCGCAGATGAGTCTCTGTCCTTCCCGCTTCAACTGATCAGTGGGTTGGTCTAAGAGACTCGTCACAACTGCCAACTTATCCAGCATATGTTTTACGCAGCGGATGCCCCTCCAGCTGCAACCCATCACTGGGAAACATCCATACACACTAATTCACACACATACACTATGAACAATATTAGCTTAAGTGAGGTTTATTTATTAACTAATTTCGAGAGGATCATGTGCTTATGATACCACAGCCGGTTTCACATTAGCTAATCATGATCTTCCAATCCAAGTTATTATAAATAACCACAGTCTTCAATCCACATTTATCTTCGTCTGAAAGAAACACCCCTTCCTCCCTATTCCCCTCCTTTACCATAGATCGGGCGGCACGGTGGCCCAGTGGTTAGCACTGTTAGCCCCACAGCAAGAACACTGCCGGCCCTGGTCCCAGCCAGGGCGGTGGGTGTTTCACTGAGGATTTTGTATATTCTCCCTGTGTCCGCATGGGTTTTCCCCGGGTTCCCTGGTTTCCTACCACCATCCAAACATATACATAATACATTACAGATTTAGCAAATCAGGCACTTGTCTAGCTCACTTCTTTCTGAAGTGTTACCTTAGCTACTGCAGCCGTGGAGTTTTTGAGGTCCACCTGAGCTCAAGCTCCCCTCTTGCTCTGCGAATGGGAGGAAGAACTGGACTTAAGAATCCCCTAAGCTCAGAGTTCTCTCGTGGGACAGCATGCCAAACAAGCTTTTGATCGATTATCAGCTAAGTGGGAACTCTTGAATTCACCTATACTGGATGTCTTTGGACTGAGAGGGAAACCGGAGCACCCGGAATAAACCCACGCAAACACAGGGAGAACATGCAAATGTCAACTGACCCAGTCCGGGATCAAACCAGCGACCTTCTTGTAGTGAGGCGATTGTGCTACCAACTTCAAATATTAAGTACTATGTTTGTATTTATAAACATATACTTTCAACATATTTATTTGTTTAGTTTCAGGTCAAATTAAGCATGCCAACCTGTTTCCCAAATACTCACAGAAGAGCAGTAGAAATACAAGTCTTGCAACCTTATGCAGATGTGACATGCAAGAATCAACTATCCATAAACCGTTATCTCAGCTGTTTAGGACTTCATGCATAACAGGGCAAAGTTATCAAGTCCTGAGAGAACGAAATCTTTATGGCACCTGCTTATACATGCACTGCAATTAAAGCAATAAAATGTAATATTTAACTCCTACCTGCATATTCCTGTATTCTCTTCACTTCTGAAAAACAGAAAGACGGTCACATTATTGGAAACAGTTAAACACATTACATAAATCCACCGGTAGAACACACATCATTCTAATATAAACACTCGTCAACAAAAGGAAGACTTACTGACTGACTTGGCCGGTGATTGATTAGCAGATATTAAGGGGCCTAGATCAGAAACAGACAATGTCAGCTGCATGGGGCAAAATGCATGAGGCAATATCTCCATCTGCCACTAGATGGCGCTGTAGTTACGTGTTTGACAGCTGTCACTCACAGGCAGCAGGTGGTTTCTGCAGCTCCTCTTTAAACTGCTCCAGTAGTTGACAGACAGAGGCACAGATCCCTTCAGTCCCCAAATCACAGCTCAGAGAAACACTTGACCAGTCCTTCACTGACACAGGAGTACTGGCATCAGAGTAACCCTGTTGGACACGAGAGGGGCAATTGCAATTCTTCGCTATAGATCATGCACATTTTCTTTCTATGCACAATAGAAACAAGCAGTGTATTCTATAAATTTGAGACACAGGAGCCTGGATCCCATTGATGTCTATAGGTTTACTGTATCATATTCCTACACTGATTTGCAATGAACTAAAAGTGCTAAAAGTAATAAAGCTGTATAATATATCGTTTGATCATCGATATCGCAGTGTGTGTATCTGGAATAGTCACATCTTAGGATTGAATTATTAAAGATCACAAGACTAAGATATTATTAAATATGATTTTTAAAAATATTCAAACAATGATAACCATGTTATTTTTCATTTGGATGTTTAATTTCTGTACTTGAATACTGTTATATTGTAATTTATGTAGAAATTGTAGATCAGCAGTTGCTAAAATACTCAACCATGCAACGTTCAGAGTCACTTAAATCACCTTTCTTCCCCATTCTGATGCTCGGTTTGAACTGCAGCAGATCGTCTTGACCATGTCTACATGTCTAAATACATTGTGTTGCTGCCATGTGATTGGCTGATTGGAAATTTGCATTAACGAGCAGTTGGACAGGTGTACCTAATAAAGTGGCCGGTGAGTGTATTTCCAACTCAAACTGAACACTGAATAAGGGGGTTTAATGGCAAATCTAGAGAACCGATAGCTTTAACTTTTTTGGTTTTGAAATTTTTTTACAATGACAATAATATGAGAACTGAAGTCATTTTCTCGAATAAGATCTGATGTACCAAGTTACATACCTTCAGTCCAGTGATGTAGTTGTCAGTTTGGGCCAGTTTAGTCAGCTCTGTGCTCTTGGTGCGGAGCTCTGTGATCTCCTGCTCCAGCTCTCGGATCATGAGCTCGGCCTGGTGCTCTGCTGAGCGTCGGTTAATCTCTGTAACCTCCAGCAGGCCAGCCTGACTGCGCTCCAGAGAGCTGATCAGTGCCCCGAACAGCTGCATGCTGCGCTGCGCCTCGTGCTGTGCCAGCGCCTGCAGGACAGGTGATCGAGGAGAAAAATGAAGATGCATGTCAGTCAGATCCAGGATTTATAGATCAGGATTGATGCAGTTGTATTTTATCCTTCTATAGGCCCACAAACAAAAATACAGTAGTTTTTGATAATTGATAAGTTGATGTGATTAAATTGATTTTGATGTGATGATAACTTTAAAACCCAGGGCGTCCGCTGGGTCTTACTAAGTATTAACAGTTGATAAATCAATGTAGAGAAATTTAAGGCCCTTAAAAAGTATTAAAAAGTTTTAAATTCTACTTTGCAAGGTATTCAGTTTAATATCAGTTTGCAATTTATAGTTGTGTGCTTAAGTTTGCCTGAATTAAATCTGCGAATATCAAGATGTTGTTTAGTTTATTAATCCTGCTAGATTTGACATCCTGCTGCTTTGTTTACTGCAGTTACCAATGAAACACCATTATTTCTGCATTTCTATAAGCGCCAACCTGCTGAATTAGCTAGATTTATTAGATTTGTATTTCGTATATGAATAATGTTTTAGTTTTGGATTAGTTTCTTACATTAATATTTAGTAAATATACTGCAAGTTAAAATCTCGCTAGTGTTTCAGGTTGAAACCTTAAGTGGTAATAAGGTCTTAAAATGGATGCAAAAAGTCTTAAAAAAGGTCTTAAAAGGAATTGAATTTCACTCTGATTCCTGTATATACCCTGAAACCACATTTCACTTTTCTGCAAGCCTTGGAGGATTTGTAATGTTGAGGGATAAAGAAAAGATGTAAAGCTTCTGCATTACTCACGTTGATGTCAATTAGTGATTGCTTAATCTCCTCCGCTTTCTGCGTCCTCACCCTGGCCATCTCCTGTATCTCTGTCTCTGTGATAGAAATCTTTATCTGTGTTCAAAGAAAATGGGAAATGACGCCATAGGAAGCGCTTCAGGTTGCATATTGGGAAGGCCACAGGCTGCATTATACTACAAACAAGTACTAAAGCAATAGCAATGATATACAGTATTTATAATACATTTTTACATGCCAAATATATATTTTAAGAATAACTGCAAAAATACTGACTTAAACTTAAAATTAATAAATTTTTTATCTTATTTGGATAAGTTGCCTAATTAACCTACCTAGTTAACCTAATTAACCTAGTTAAGCCTTTAAATGTCTAAGCTGTATAGAAGTGTCTTGAAAAATATCTAGTCAAATATTATTTACTGTCATCATGGCAAAGACAAACTATTATGTTTAGAAATGTGTTGAAAAAATCTCTCAGTTGAATAGAAATTGGGGGAAAACAAAAAAACGGGGCTAATAATTCTGACTTCAACTGTATATATATTGCTAGAAGAAGAACCATTTTTGGTTCCCCTGATAAGTTTTTATTGATGTTTATTCATTCATTTTCTTTTCAGCTTAGTCCCTTTATTAGTCAGGGGTTGGAACAGCAGAATGAACACAGGGAGAACATGCAAACTCCACACAGAAATGCCAACTGACCCAGCCGAGGCTCGAACCAGCGACCTTCTTGCTGTGAGGCGACAGTGCTACCACTGAGCCACCTTGCGGCCCTTATTAAAAAGTTTTTAAAAAATGTTTTAGTTTCATAGAAATTTTTATAATCTATAGCAGGGGTGGGCAAACTCGGTCCTGGAGGGCCAGTGTCATGCAGACTTTAGCTCCAACACTAATCAATCACACCTGAACATGCTAATCAGTGTCTTAGAAATCACTAGAAATTTATAAGAAATTTATAAGCAGGTATGATTGATTAGAGTTGGAGCTAAACTGTGCAGGACACCGGACCTCCAGGACGGAGTTTGCCCACTCCTGATCTAAAGGAACATTTTCATAAACCTATAGTGGAATGAAAAGATTATGTCTATATTAAAGGCATTATGTAAAACAGTGGTTCCCAAAGTGGGGGTCCCAATACAACAATGGGGGGTCACTTGGTTTAATTCCAAAAATGTCATATATGTTATTAAACTATTAAAATGACCATATTTTATCCCTAATCTACAGATGATAAAATAGAAGTTGAAATTTACATAAAAAGCAACATGCAAATAAAAAGTCATCAGCCTCGCATACATTAAAAATAATGGCCAAGACTCGAGTGAATATTGAGGACAATCTCCAAGTGGCGGTCTCCAAAATTTAACCAAGAATAAACTTGTACTGTAAACACTGTGCCCACCATTCTCCTTAAGTGAGGATAATATTAAATTAAACAAATGGATAATGACTGTAAAAAAATAATATGGTTGTTAGACTTGCACATTTTTGTGTTGTCAATAAACTTGTTTATATAATTCCAGCTGGTGTGTTTGCACCATTGTGGGCAATGTTTGTGTGTTTAAACCACCTCCGAGGAAAGCGGGGGTTGCAAATCAGTGGAATTGTTTTAATGGGGGTCGCAAGCTGAAAAGTTTGGAAACTGCTGATGAACAAGGTTCTTCACAAAAAAATAAAAAATATATTTTTAAGAGTATACCTTTAATTGTTGTATTACTTCCCATTATGGGCCCAAACCAACTACAGCATAATCACGAAACACTCCCAGCAATATGATTAAATAACCCTTGTTATTTAAAAAAAAGCACATAGTTCACAGAAAAAGGAAAGTTCTGTCATTCTTTACATGTTTAACATTCCTTTAAACATGGAAGACGATATTTTCAAGAAAGCTAGAAACCTGTAACCTTTGACACCCATAGTATTTTCTACTATGGAAATCAATGGTGGCCGGTTCAGCTTTCTTTAAAGTATCTGCTTTTGTGTTTAACAGAAAAAAATCAACTCATAAAGTTTCCAAGGGTGAGTAAACAGTGAATTAATTTTCATTTTTGTGTGAACTATCCCATTCATTTGGAGGCCACAATAAATGGTGCTTCAGATTTGATCAGACTCATTCCTCTACCTTATTAATCTGCCACTCCTTCTCAGCACAGGTGATGTTGTGTGTTTGGTGCTCTGTTTGTTCGCACTCGGCACAAATACACTCCAGATCAGTCCGACAGAACAGTTCCAGGTTTCGGTGATGCTTCGGACACAATGGCACCTTCACGGCATTCGCCGCTCCGCACATTGAATACCTTCTCAGTGACACCTGTCTGGCAAAATTGGGCAACTCTGTGTCATCACTGTCTGCATGTGTTGTTTGCTCAGTTTGCTCAGCCCCTGTTTCATTGTGACAGGCCAGAGAAGTGTCCCGGGATCTGCGTCGTATCAGTTTCCTTTTCATTTCACTAAAGAGCTGATTTGGAAGCTGGCCGCGCTTAAGCGTCCCGTTTGTTGACTCTTGTGTTATTCCGTCTTTTTCAGCTTCGTCACCTCCGCAGGCCCCCAGGTTCCCGTTCATGCACTTGAACTGTTCGGTGATCTCTCGGAGTGTGCGGTTGATGTGCAGGTCAGGTTTTCTCTTGAAGGTCTGTTTGCAGAGCGGGCACTGGCAGTGTTTCGCCGTGTCCCAGTAGTGGCTGATGCAGCTCATGCAGAAGCTGTGGCCGCATGGTGAAGACACCGGATTGTCAAACACCTCTAAACAGATGGAGCACAGCAGGTGCTCTTCAGACAAGAAGCTGCGGGAGAACGGCATGGCTGTGCAGCAAGAAAAACAGGAGGAGGAAAAAAATGGCATGATCAGACACAATCTACATTGTAAAAGTGATATAGAAATAAAGATGAATTTAATTGGTAACATAAAGTAACAACATTTACAAAAACTGGTGGTGGTTGAGGAGATTTACCCCAAATCATTAAAGTGCTTTGAGTGTCCAGAAAAAAGCTATATAAATGTAATGAATTATTATAATTATAAGGTAATAAGAGACTGGGTATCGAGAGCTTATGTTTCTGTACAAAACTAACCAGAAAATGTGCATCATGAGGTATTGAGTACTTCTTTCATTCTTTATTATTCATTGATTCTTTTTCATCCAATTTTCCGGTGCCGGGTTGCAGGGGCAGCAGGAGAGAACCACAGACTTCCCTCTCCTCAGACACTTCCTCCAGCTCCTCTGGGGGATCCCGAGGCAATCCCAGGCCTGCCAAAAGACTCAGGCCCCGTTTACACTAGTGCGTTTTAGTTTGAAAACGGCATTTTAGAGTGAAAACGATCCGCGTCCACACTCGCGTTTTACCCAGCGTTTCTGAACTGCTCTCCGTCCACACCAAAACGCTAAAAACGCACATCACGTGACCACACACACACACTCTCGGGCAAGCGCTGCAGCCCATCTACCCAGATGAGAGCTCTGCTAGTCAAACTTTTCATCAAGCATCTCCCGCTGGATCTAATCTCACTATATTTATTTAACGGGATATTTCATTCATCTTGTTGTCTTTATCTAACGACATATTCCCTGACTTTGGTCATTGGAATCTATTACTTGTTCTCCGGAAACGTGTTTTGTCTGAGCGCAAAGAAGTTAATGATTAATGTAAGCACGTAGCCTACTTTCTGTATATTGACTGATCGCTTGCCTTTAATTCCTATAATGTATAAACTTATTATTGTACGTTATACTTTTATAATGGCCATTATCGATTATTAAAACTGATATTCAGCAAAAGAGAGGGTGTGTTTCATATTTTCACTGAAATTGAAAGGAGGCAGTTGTTATCGGCTCCGTTTTGTTATAAATATCCACACAGTGAAGATGACGCTCATGCAGCACGGCGCCTCAACATTTCTGCTGTCTAAGTTGCTAATATTAAAATGAAAATAGGCAGTTCCTTAAATCGTGTTTACATTTTATTGTTGAGAAAGTGAAACAACGTAGCCAAGGTGAATGAAGTTATAAAGTACACTGTTCCCTTTGAAGATTTACCCGTGTCCTCGGTACAGTCTGTTTTCCATATCAAACTGAGAAGAAGAGACTGCAGCCTTGATCAAACTTGCGAAGTCTGAACTTACAAGGAGAGGATGCAGGACTGAACTGTGTGTATAGGCTACTTAATATTGAGGAAAAGCCCCAATCAGAGAGGCGAATGTCTGCAGCCCCGCCTCCGTTTTCAGATGTCTCCGTTTTCCATCATCCACACTGAGACGGAGCAGCAGCGTTTCAGAATGAAAACGGCCTCTCCAGCGTTTTCGAAACGTTCTGTTTTTGGCGCTCGAGAACTCCGGCGTAGTGTGGACGGATGCCGTAACCGTAGCAAAACTTAAGCGTTTTCAAACTAAAACGCATTAGTGTAAACGGGGCCATAGTCCCTCCAGCTCGTTCTGGGTCTTCCCCGAGGCCTCTTCCTGGTGGGACATGCCTGGAACACCGCCCTAGGTAGGCGTCTAGGAGGCATCTGAAACAGATGCCCGAGCCACCTTAGCTGACTTCTCTTGATGTGGAGGGGCAGCAGCTCTACTCCGAGCTCCTCCTGGGTGTCAGAGCTCCTTATCCTTTCTATAAGGGTGCGCCCTGCCACCCTGCAAAGGAAACTCATTTCGGCTGCTAGTATCCAAGATCTTGTGCTTTTGGTCATGACCCAAACCTCATGATCATAAGTGAGAGTAGGACCGTAGATTGACCAGTAAATCAAGAGCTTTGCCTTTTGGCTCAGCTCCTTCTTTACCACAACAAACTGATACAATCCGCCTGTCAATCTCACGTTCCATCTTTCCCTCACTCATGAACAACACCACAAGGTACTTGAACTCCTCCACCTGGGGTAAGGACTTTCCTCCAACCTGGAGATGGCAAACCACCTTTTTCCCTTGGAGCACTATGGCCTCGGACTTGGAGGTGCTGATTTTCATCCCAGCCCTGTCACACTTGGCAGCAAACAACCCCATTGCATGCTGAAAGTCCATGTTCGATGAAGCCAATAGAACAACATCTGCGAATAACAGATGAAATCCTGTGGTCCTCGTACCAGACCCCTGCAGCCCAAAGCTGCCCTTTGAAATTCTATCCATAAAAATTATGAACGGAATTAGTAACAAAGGGCAGCCCTGCCGGAGTCCAATATGCACTGGAAAAAAGTCTGACTTATTGCCGGCAATGCGAACCAAACTCCTACTCTGTTCATACAGGGACGAGACGGCCCTTAACACACCGCTTCTGACCCCCTACTCCCGAGCACCTTCCACAGAATACGTCGAGAGACACGGTCGAATGCCTTCTCCAAGCCCACAAAACACATGTGGACTGGTTGGGCATACTCCCATGAACCCTTGAGCACCCTGACACCCTAAGGGTATAGAGTTGGTCCAGTGTACCACGGCCTGGATGAAAACTGCATTGTTCCTCCTGGATCTTTATTATGCAATTTATTAATCTGGGTTGATGTTAATTGATTATCTCATATAGTGTATTGATAATTAATGTTTAATCATATTAAATTTTATATTTTGGTATTCATTTGTTTCTAAAGTTTAAATGACAGAGTTTTTGGTTTATTTATTTTCGAACAAAAATATACATAAAATATCATTAACAAAAAGAAATACATTTCAACATGGTCGAAAATGGAGCGGGATGAAGCATAAGGTTTAAAGTTTTAAAGATATTATTATTAATAATAAACTGTCAAGAAATATGTACAGGCTACAGAACAAACTGCTGTTGTACTGTGACTTGCTTAATTAACCTAACTTTAACCTAATTAAACCTATTTAAGCCTTTATATATATATAAAGCACACACAAACAATGGGATGAAATAGGTTAAAAGTCAATAGGTAATATTTGTTCTGTCACTTGTCACGGTGACTCAACTGTGATGAATGCATGAGTTCAAATCATCCCAAACAACAGCGACCCAGTGCATTACTGAATGAGAGTGTGTTAGTAGGTCAGTAATCTAGGATCAGGGTCAATTCATGAGGTGTTTTGCTGTTTTTAAGTCACGCTAAATGCTTCAGATTGAGAAAATGATGTTCTCACCTGTAATCAGCAGTTTGGCACTGGAATGAAGATCTACTGGCTAAAGTGAGCACATGTTGTGCAAGAGCACATGTCTCGTTTCAGATCTGTAGGTTTTCTCAGTTTATGTTGCTTATTTGACAAGTATAGTCCTGATGAACAGATCAAAGGATTCTGGAAACAACTGAGGAAACAAAAACACACATGCACACAGTCAAAACATGGTCAACCTTTTGATAGAGCAAACAGTCAAAGGGTTAAAGGGCAAAATTATTAGCCCTCTGTTGAAATATTAATTCATTTTCAAATCTTTCCCAAGTGTTGCAACGGTTGAGAAATGTTCACAGTATTTCCTATCACCTTTTTCCTCTGGAGAAAGTATCATTTCTTTTAATTTGGCTGGAAGTTTTAATTCTTTGTAAAAACAAATATCTATCAATATTATTAGCGCCCTTCAGAACTATTTTTTCAGTTGGCCACAGAACAAACCATTGTTGTCTAACAAATTACTCTGACTTGCCTAGTTAACCTAATTAACCCAGGTAAGCCTTTACATTGTACTTTAAGCTGAACACTAGTATCTTAAAATAATACAAAATAATTCCTCTAATATGATGATCTGTCATCATGACACAGACAAAAGAAACTAGTTATTAGACTTTATAAAAGCTATTATATTAAAAAATGTCTGTAACTAATGTTTTAAATAATTAACATATCGCACGAGGACTAATAAATTTGACTTCAACCGTATATGTGTGTTAAATGTTTTGCTTGTGCTATTTAATAAATAGAAATACCCTTCATTTTCACAATCAGACACATTTTTGTTTGTTGGATTTGGTCTGCTCCTTGTGGACTGGAAAAAGTAAGGAATGACACCTCTTCGGAGTTCAATGCAAACTGCCTTATAAGGGTTAGTTCACCCAGAAATGGAAATTCTGTTATTAATTTCTCACCCGCTTGTCGCACCAAAGCTATTTAACCTTTGTAATCTAAAATATCTTCATTTGTGTTCTGAAGATGAAGGAAGATCTCTAGGGATTAAAACAACATTGTGAGAAATTAACAACAGAAATTAATAACAGAATATTCATTTTCGGACCCTTTAAGGTAAAGTTAAATATATATTAGTCATTCAGTATTGAATATTATTAAAGAACAGAGCAATTTGCAAACCTCTGAGCTTGTGTAGAACTTGACAAAATATTTTTAGCAGCTAAATATATATATATTTGCAAGTTAGTTGTATTCATTGCTATCCAAATGATTCTTTTAAGGTATTTTGCGCTTTAAATGTCAAATAAACTGGTTAATCGTAAACATAATTAGTCATGTCTTGAGGGAACATAATCAACTGGTGTAAAAAAATATCTGTGTATTTAACATATCTGTATAACCAAATATTTAGATGAATTAAATTCCCCACCATAGTATTTAGTATTTTTGATTAAATACATTTAATAGCAATTTAAATTTTGTTTTTTAAATTACAATTTTGCAAAACTTTTCAATAAATTGGTGCCCATCTCGACTATTAACTACAATAAGTGCTCTTAGCTTATGTCTAACACTTTTCAGCTGTCATGCTCAATGCAGATGCTTGGTAATAATAGTAATAAATCAAGTAATACCTTTAATCCCTGAAGAAATGACCTAGATTTTCTTGATCCAGTGGTCTCTCACTCGTCCGCGTGTTGAATCTGGGTGTTTCAGTGTTACAGGTGTGGTAGAAAGGCTTGCATTTGCTTTTCTTTTGGTGCACTGATCTGCCTCTCCCTCCACGTCTCTCTTTCTCCCGGATTGAGTGAGTTTAAACCAGTCTGATGAGATTCCAAACAAGATTACATGCTTGTTTCAATTACTTTTCAGGGTTAGAGCTTGTCAGATGATTCGCGGATGAACAGAAATAGATTTGCTCTCTAATACAATATACACATTTTTTTAGCTTTACAATTTCTCTCATCCAAAGCATATAATGGATACTTTCTTGATATTAATTGGTTAAGCCATCATTGACACTACAGTGAATTGCTCTAAAGACATACATTTGCGAATTCGTTACATCAGCTTTATTGCACCACTGCATCTTTGATGTTGCTGTGGCTATACTTTGCATTTCAGCTTAATTAATTGCCTCATTTAACTGTTTATTACACTGATTACTAATTTAACGAAGAGCAAATGACCACTTTTTATTTTGGGAATATGCAATTCCCCTTATCAAAGAAACTCTTCTTATACTGTACTGTATACACTCACCGGCCACTTTATGAGGTACATCTTACTTGTTCCGGGTTGGACCCACTTTTACTTTCAGAACTGCTTGAATTCTTTGTGGTATAGATTCAACAAGGTACTGAAAATATTCCTCAGACATTTTGGTCCATAATGACGTGATATCGTCATGCAGTTGCTGTAGATTTGTCGGCTGCACATCCATGATACGAATGTCCCGTTCCACCACATCCCAAAGGGGCTCTATTGGATTGAGTTCTGGTGACTGTGGAGGCCATTTGAGTACAGTGAACTCATTGTCATGTTCATGAAACCGGTCTGAGATGATTTGCTCTTTATGACATGGCATGTTCTCCTGCTGGAAGTAGCCATTAAAAGATGGGTACACTGTGGTCATAAAGTCAGCAACAATACTCAGGTAGGCTGTGCAGTGACACGACTAATGAACCTAAAGTTTGCCAAGAAGATATCTCCCACACAACTTCACCATCACCATCAGCCTGAACCGTTAATACAAGGAAGGATGGATCCATGCTTTCATGTTGTTGATGCCAAATTCTGACCCTACCATCAGAAATCAACACTCATCAGACTAGGCAACATTTGTCCAATCTTCTATTGTCCAATTTTGGTGAGCCTGTGTGAATTGTAGCCTCAGTTTCCTGCTGACGGCAGTGGCACCCAGTGTGGTCTTCTGCTGCTGTAGCCCATCTGCCTCAAGGTTGGACATGTTGTGCCTTCGGAGATGCTCTTTTGCAGACCTCGGTTGTAACGAGTGGTTATTTGAGTTACTGTTGCCTTTCTATCAGCTCGAAACAGTCTGGCCATTCTCCTCTGACCTCTGGCGTCAACAAGGCATTTGTGCCCACAGAACTGCCGCTCACTGGATATTTTCTCTTTTTTGGCTCATTCTCTGTAAACACTAGAGATGGTGTGAAAATCTCAGTAAATCAGCAGTTTCTGAAATACTCAGAGCAGCCTGTCTGGCACCAACAATCATGCCACGTTCAAAGTCACTTAAATAAACTTTCCTCCCCATTCTGATGCTCGGTTTGAACTGCAGCAAATCATCTTGACCATGTCTACATGTTTAAAAGCAATGAGTTGCTGCCATGTTTTTCTGATTTCAAATGTTTAAATTTTCTGATTAGTACTTTGCGTTGCAATTGGACAGGTGTGCCTAATAAAGTGGCCAGTGAGTGCATGTGTGGAAATCCAGCTTCCAAAGTGCCTAAGGAATATTATCACAGTTGTGTCTTTAAGTTTATTGCATTTAAATAGACATTAAATTACATCAAAACGCCTGTCTTGGCAAATTCATATACACAATTTAGCTTTTATTACAAGTATTGAGTGGTAATTAATTTAAAGTCAATTTCATACCCCAAAAATAACACTGTTAATTTGTATCAATATTGTAAAGTGGGTTAAAATGTGACAAGAGGAGACAAACTTGTATAACTGGCAATATAACAGTTAATATAACAAGACATGATCATACAAATAATACAAAACTTCATGAGAAACTTTAAGGTAGCGTTAAAGCAGCAGACTTTTTCATTCCTTCAAGAATGCTATTTTACCATTTAAAAGCTACTCTACATCTGCCATAAACAAGAGATGGAGAGATAAAAACACAAAGAGCTCAAGTGATCAGGGCTGCTTTGTCACATACATCACTAAAGTTGGTTCCAACCAGTTCTTACCCCATTGTCTCTACTAGTAGATAAACACTGAAAAACGTAGAAAAAAAAGAGAGAAAAAGTTGCTGTTTAGATTTAAGTAGCAAACACTTAAAGACTGGATCTTTCAGGGATTAATATGTTATAAATACATTAATCCATTACTAAAGCAGTGTTGCTTATTATTTCCTTACAAATGTCAGAAAAACGCTTCACATTGTTTTGTTTAAGGATGACAATGCAATAGTCATTGCGCTCAAACCATAATAGAACTCTTCATTTTCTCGACCAGTTGACCTGAAGCCCACTGAATGTCTTGAAAAAGACTCTACAGAGCGCTTTTACTGTCTTTAGGATCATCTTTAGCGTAAATAATGATGTGCAATTATATGGTGTGGTGTTATTTTAACAACCATAAGCAATTGTACATTGTTTAGTTCCATCAGGAGTGCCATTAAGCTTTGGCTGAGATCCTGTTTTGATAACGGGAGCATCTGACACTGAGGTATTGATGGTTTTCATGTCAACAAGTTGTCATATGTGGAAAATCAAGCTTCTTTTGCAATTTGTGCCTGATGAGTTTTTGCATGTCATTCTGAAATATGACCATGGTCGGCTATATTAATAAAAAGCTACACACCACATCAGTAAGGGTTTAAAATAGATCATTTTGGTAGACATACAGTTGAAATCAGAATTATTAGCTTTTTTTTTAAAAAAAATATTTCCCAAACGGTGTTTAACAGAGCAAGGAAATTTTCACAGTATGTCGATAATATTTTTTCTTCTGGAGAAAGTCTTATTTTTTTATTTCAGCTAGAATAAAAGCAAATTAAAAAGTCATTTAAGGACAAAATTATTAGCCTCTTTAAGCTATTTTTTCCCCGATTTTTTCCTAACCCGAACCCTAAACCTAACATCGTTATAAAATAACTTGCCTAATTACTCTAACCTGCCTAGTTAACCTAATTAACCTAGTTAAGCTTTTAAATGTCACTTTAAGTTGTCTAGAACTGTTTTGAAAAATATCTAGTGATGTATCATATACTGTCATCATGGCAAAGATAAAATAAATCAGTTATTAGAAATTATTTTAAAAAATTCTCTCCGTTAAACAGAAATTGGGGAAAAAGAAACAGGAGGGCCTTTTAACAGCCAAAAAACTTATTCTGACATTCTGGAAAAGTAAATCTCCTCCCTCTTTCAAATTATGGCTCAGTGAACTCACAAACACACTCCATTTAGAAAGAATACGGTACCATTTACAGAATAAAAAGCCAAAAATTTTTTAAATATGGGAACCTTTCATAAGGTACTTGGAAGGGAGAGATGGAACAGTTGTTTGATGAGGATATTGTTAAATCATATGGCAGCTCCCATTTTCAGTAATCTTCTCTACAGGTGTGCACTACAGATGGAAACTGACGAGTGGGGGGGTATTATAGGGTATTATTTTCGTTTACATACTGTGATCTATTTTGTTTGGGTTTGCATATATTTTGTTCTTCTTTTCCTTCTCTAATGGTAACTAAGTTTTTTTTCTCTGTCAATTCAGATAATGGTTTACATATGTAGACTCTGTAAATTGTGTTAGTATACCAAGGGAAAAAAAATGTATGTACATGTGTGTGTGTGTGTGTGTATGTATGTGTATATCTATGCGTGTATGTGTGTGTGTGTGTGTGTGTGCGTGTGTGTGTGTGTGTGTGTGTGTATATATATATATATATATATATATATATATATATATATATATATATATATATATATATATATAGACATGTAGCTGTAATATAATCACTTGTACCTAATAATTATAGAAGGAAATATTTTGTTTTAATTTATTTTAATTTATTTTATTTTTAGCATAAGTAAAATGTGGAGGATCTTTTTTATATAATTGCAAACATTCTGTAATTGTACATATTCTCCCCCCCAAAAAAATAAAAAATAAAAATAAATAAAAATAAACAGGGGGGCTAATAATTCTGACTTCAACTGTATATGCCAAAAATCCAACACAATCTCATGGCAATTCACAACTTTAAGATTTAGTGGCGATATTGATTTAGACATAGATGATCACATTTGTACACTTTAATATGATTTGCTCACCTGCCAGCGATGGTTGGGTTTAGGGATGGAGTCTGGGGGCACACCTCTCTTTAAAAATCTTATGTTTTCATAAAAATACAAGAGTATGAATTTGTATGAATTATACGATTTTCTGACAGTATGCAAAATACGCACATTTCCTTGTGAGCTCGGTCTGGCAGTATCACTGAAATAAAGATCCGATTATAGACTATGCTTAAAACTATACAGATTGCTTAATTTGAAATATGATCAATTGATGAATGCATTTTAATCTTTTGTGCTTGAGATTGTCTAGGATAGGAGTCATGGAATGCTTTAGAGCAGGCGTGTCCAAACTACGGCCCGCGGGCCATCTGCGGCCCGCAATCAGTTTTGTGGCGGCCCGCGAGGCTTTTTATAAATATCAATAGAATCTGGCCCGCTATACAAAAATGAACGTAATTCAATAAATAACCACCGGGTGTCGCTATTACATGCATTCACTTAAGCAGCAGTTCTTATTATTATTATCTATCTATCTATCTATCTATCTATCTATCTATCTATCTATCTATCTATCTATCTATCTATCTATCTATCTATCTATCTATCTATCTATCTATCTATCTATCTATCTATCTATCTATCTATCTATCTATCTATCTATCTATCTATCTATCTATCTATCTATCTATCTATCTATCTACACACAGTTGAAGTCTGAATTATTAGCCCCTCTTTGATTTATTTCTTCTTTTTTAAATATTTCCCAAATGATGCTTAACAGAGCAAGGACATTTTTACCGTATGTCTGATAATATTTTTTCTTTTGGAGAAAGACTTTTGTTTTATTTCGGCTAGAATAAAAAGCGGTTTAAATTTTTTTCTGAACCATTATAAGGTCAAAATGATTAGCCCCTTAAGTCTTCAGAACAAACCATTGTTATAAAATAACTTGCCTAATTACCTTA